CTTTTCTGGTGATGCTTCCAAGCTTCTACCTGTAAGTATCCCACCTCTAAAAAATGTAGTACGAGATATTCCAGCACCATAGGCATATCCAACTCCGCTGAGATCACCATGTGCCTTTCCTACGCTCAACACTTCATCCAACTTTTCTTTTCCTTTCATCAAGCGATGAATTTCTTCCAAGAATTTCTCCTTCACTCTCATGTAAACTGATTTTCTTTAATTGCTCACTTGACTCCAGTGACAATCTTTGATTATCCTTAGCTAACTCATCATTCATGTTGGTGAGTTGTTCATTTACCTCCATCATTGCATTATTTTTCTTTTCTAATTGACCAATATATGCCTTCAGATTCTTATTTTGGAAGATGAGAGTCTTCTGTTCGGCAACGACTAATTTGTAAGTTTCGATTAGCTCCTGACAGTTCATCTCTGTGTCACCAGCTATAGCACTTTCCTCGACCTTTTCATCATCATGCGCTGTGAATGCCACTCCTTCATCTTGTGTCTCTTGTCCTGATTGAGACTCTTCATCACTCCATGTGGCACCCATTGCCTTTTTATCCTTTCTTTTAGTTGCACATTCTGATCGAATGTGCCCATATCCATTGCAGCCGTAACAAATTATGTCATCATGTACTGTGGGTTTCTTGGTCACCTTGAATTTCTTTGAACCATTTCCTTTATGAGTATTCTGAACTGGACCCTTATTGACTTATTTTGCATAATTCACTCCACCAGTATGCCCTCCAGTTCCACGAAGTTGTTGAGCTTTTCTATCTTGAAGCATCTTAGACAACTTCTTTGAGAGCAGTGCAAGTTCATCATCTTCCTTCTCAGTAGTTACATCTTCTGTCAACAATGCAATCTACCGTCTAGGATTCTGCCTGATATAATTCATCTCATAGGTCTGCAAGGTTTCAATAAGAGCATTTAGTGACATTGTTTCGGTTTTCTCCATATCTTCAAGAGTGGACACTTTGTTGTAGAACTTCTCCGACAAAATACGCATCATTTTAAATACGAATTTCCTTTCTTCATATGCTAACCCCAAGCTGTGAGCATGACTTACAACACTCTTGAATTTGTGCTGTACTCAAATACAGTTTCCTCATCTTTCATCAGTAGGTTATCAAACTCTCTCTCGATCATCTACAACTTAGATCGCTTAACCTTATCATCTCCTTCAAATGCTTCACGCATCGCGTCCCGAGCCTCTTTGATTTCGCCAACACCTAGAACATCTCCCATAAGCATGCGCCCAAACTTTTAATACTAAACATACTCATTTGGTTAGGATGATGACCACTTTTGCTGCACAGATACACTTTCGCGCTCGACCACTCTTCCAAGACAACACCCATTACTGCAAGAAACATATATAAAGATTCCGTCGTGAATTCAAGGCTTTGATTTGAATGTCTTCCAGTTGCTTTGCTATCTGCACATGATCAAGACTGCACACTCTATTTTCTGAACCTTCAACAACATTGTTCAGATCGATTTTGGATGTGCAACAGTGAGCGTCTCCAAGGATATGCTCTGGTGAATGCTTCTTGTTGGCTTTGGTGAGAATTTTTATTGGTGGTTCAAGGTTGCTGCTCCTGTGGGGTTGTTCATGAGATGTCCAAACGCAATCTGATCCCCCTTATTTACATCAATCAAATCCAATCCATCTGTGCCGTGCTTTAGTTCAGATTCGTCATCACTTGAATTTTGACTTCTTAACTCAGACAATTCATTGTGGCAGTTCACATTAGCGGACTCCATTCCCATGTTCTGCTTGGAGAGAGCAACTAGACATGCTTCTTGATTCACCTTAGGCCTCCACACTAGTCTCGCCATAATTTTGTTCTTCACTTGTTTTGATGGCCAAAATACTTTTCTACCCAGCCATAAATCTTGTCTGATTCGATCATAGTCCAACTCCTAGTGTCCAGATTGTTTGCAGTAGCTGCAGTTTGATAGTTGTCTGCCTGACCAACAAGCACTCCTTCGATTTCCAAAGGATTTCGAAATAGCAGTCCGTTTAACACCTTCTCTCCTACCAATTGATTCAGAGAGCAATCCACCATTGAAAAAGTTTATATGAAACAACGTGAAGGATTGGCTCTAGTGGAGAAAATTTAGTCCGTAAGCTTAATAAATCCATATACGGATTGAAACAAGCATCCCACCAATGGTATTTGAAATTTGATGATGTTATCTCTTCATTCGGCTTTGAAGAAAACGTCGTGGATCACTGTATATACCAGAAGGTTAGTGAGAGTCGTATTTGCTTCCTTGTGTTGTATGTGGATGATATTTTGCTTGCAACTACTGATAAAAAGATGTTATATGAGGTGAAACACTTTCTTTCAAAGAACATTGATATGAAAGATATGACAGAGGCATCTTATGTCATTGGCATTAAGATCCGTGGAGATAGACATCGAGGCATTTTGGGTTTGTCTTAAAAGCCTATATCAAGAAATTTTTAGAAAAATTTAATATGAAAGATTGTTCACTGAGTGTAGCTCCCATTGTGAGGGGTGACAAACTTGATTTGAGTCAGTGTCCGAAAAAATGACTTTGAAAGGGAACACATGAGAAATATCCCTTATGCTTTAGCAGTAAGAAGTCTTATGTATGTAAAGTTATAGAAACCTACTGCAATGATTCGTATGTAAAGTTTCTCGTTATGTTTGTGATAGTTTGAGTGGATCAAGTGGGAGAATGTTAGTTTAATTAATTAATTAATTAATCAAATTTAATTTGAATATTTAATCTAGATATATATCAATTGATTATTTTTTAGATTATCTTAACTAATAAAACTAACCATAAATTGTGGTCTATTTTTTTCTCCTAAGTAATCACATTGAGAATTTACGTGAGAAGGACAGAAAAATCGTGATGGACGGTTTTTCTTTTAATTATATATACTCTCACATACGGGTTACTAAATCTATTCTCATAAATTAGAATACACCATCACTACTTGAGAGCAAGGGTCAGGCGACACCTTCTTAACATTTTCGTAGGGTTCCAACCTACTACTTTCTTGAAGAAGAAGATCTGAACCACATATTTGATTATAGCAATGACTTGAGGTTTGTTTAATTTTCGTATTTACTTCCTCTAATTTATATAATTTAAACGTGATTACTTGTGATACAAATTTCATGTTTAAATCGTTTTGTAGAAACTTAATTATTTCTAACAATGTTATCTATCATCCACCTACTAGAAATCCCCTCCTCAGCTGATGTTACATTTATTAAAAAAAAAAAACGCTTGATCCAATCTGTACATTCAGCGGGAGTTAGATACACCTAAGGTGACAAAATTTGCAATTTCGAAGTTACCTAAATTAGACTTAGTCACCCAAATTAAAATCACAAGATGAGTTAATTCTCTAATTTGACATGTTAAAAGATCATAAAATCTTGACTGTTCCAGTTTGACAAAGTGTATTCAAAGAAAAAAGATCTCATCAGTTCTGTAGGCCAAGAACAAGCTTTTCAACAAAGTTAAGGAAATGAGGTAATAGTGATTTAATCACCTTATCCTAAAACAAACCTTCCTTCTAGGTCCAAATCGCCTTAAAGCTTTTTAATCTTGGCGAAGACCTTCATCTGCATATTGCTATAACGAAAAAAAACTCGAGAATGCACAAAAGGATCATTACACCCACTGTCTCACTTTGTGTCCTTTCAAAGGTTTTCTCCTATCCATCAAAGCTTCCTTTCACCTTAAACACGATCTTCATTCCTAACTCTTTTCTAAAGCATTGTCAAAGAAATAATGGAGACTTTCTATATAAGCAGAAATGGATGCATTAGAAAAGAATGGTATCTGAGACTTTTATTCAAAAAAGCTTTTGCTATAGATCCGGTTGCAGGATCTTCAATCAACAGACAATTTATTTCAGGCTGTTGTACCTTTCTTGGAGAAAATATCCTGGAAAAGCAAGAAACAAAGTGTGGTAGGAATGTCAAGCGTTGAAGTAAAGTTCAGTGTCTTCGCAGCAGGGGTATGCGAATTATTATGGGTCGAAATGATCGTCGAAGACTTGAAGATTTGATGAGCTATATTATGAAAACAAATTAGCTATAAGTATAGCCCACAACTTGGTGCAACATGATCGAACAAAGCAAATAGAGATAGGTAGGCGCTTCATTAAATAAAAGCTAGATACAAAGGGATTGTGTAACAACTAGTTTCATGAGAACGTTGTTAAGTTGGGAATGGAAGATCTATATTCATCAACTTGAGGGGGAATGTAGGAAAACAATATGGGTAAACTTGTGTAGGGATCAGGGTAATATTTTCTTTAAAATTAAGAGATGTAGTGGAGTAATCTTATGACAGATTACTCCAGCAGTTACTTCTCATCTTCAACAGAACTTGTGTCAATGATGTTAACTGGTTTAGTTTTTCTATGTTCAAGCTGGCTCCAAAACCTAAACAAGCAACTGCTCATTCTATGTATTTCTTTTGTTCACCGCTGCTTCCATAATGTAGGATTGCTGATGCGTATATTCACTATGGTGAGCTGGTCCTCAACAGTTATACCCTTTTCAAGAAAACAATTTGGAGCATGCCTCTCTCAGAAAAACTAATACTTATAAATAATATGCACGTAGTATTTTGCTGCATATGGACATCCAAGAAATTTCTCAAAAAGCCTGTGTTTGGTTGAACCGTGACTGTGTGTACTGAACATCACTTACCGCGTATTTGATACTGAACAACCTGAAAATTTTGATACTTTTGATGTGCTGTGAGGCTCCCGCAATTTTTAGGTTTTGAGGATGAAGATGACAAAAGGGAGTTCTAAACCTTCTGCAAGTGCATTTTTATATCAGTGGGGATTATATCCATATAAGTATTATAGTCTGATTTAACTAATGCATTTATATTGATACTAGTGTTGAAAGATAGTGGCCTTTCCCCTTCAAAGATTGATTCAGTGAAATATGGTATCATAACTGTTTGAGTGTATTGATATTCAAATACAGGAAACCTTAAGGATCTGTTGATTCTTAACCTATCTGCCATAGCTTCTTGAAGCAGCAAATTTCAAGCAGGGCAAATGATGGAGCAAATGAAATGGCTTTGTCAAGCACTTGCACTTTTGAGTATATGGTGATTTTAGCTTACAAAGTTATGTGATTCTGGATTTTAAATTGAATCCGCTCTTCAATTCTCAGGTATATTCTAAAAAGTGTACATTATATTAATTCATGTTACAAACTCTTTAGAAGCAAAGAGAAGCAGTGACAATTCTGGTTTTCTGTCTGGAGGAAATCTTACTAAGGTTGTTTTCTTGTTTTTTTTTTTGATGACACAGTGCAATGTTTATGAAGCTACTTATCACTTACTACTGAGTACTGTCACAATGCATACCGAAGGGTAAGCTATACAGGTCTTCATCCACCCAGTGCTCATTTGTTGCATGTGTGCAGATTCTGATGGTTTTAGAGTCCAATTTCTGGAATGACAGGGACAATGGCAGGTTTGGGGCCCTTGGTGCTCTTATACCATTGTTGTGTGAGTTTCTGATGGTTAGGGTGGGTCCGAATGAATGCGGGAATGTGTGGATCAGGTGGACAAGCTAAGCTAAGGACCATAGCATGCATGCAGTAGGAGGGTTGGGAGGAAATGGTCCCTCCCTCACTCTTTCTTAGTAGTATAATTTAATATAAGGTATAATAAGGCTGCAGGCAAGGCAACAATTTGATGTGAGTATTTATTTCTTTGTATTGTACATAGGCAGATGACGGCGACAATGATGGTGAGGAAAGGGGTGGGTCACACAACAGACACATACTTGTTCTTGCTGCTGGTTTCTTGTCAGAATACCTGGAGGGTAGTATTGATACATGGTCGATGGCCGCCTTCTACGAGATTCCATTTTCATCTTGTTACTCGTTTATGCGCTACCAGAGTTTCTTGTCTACGTATTTGCCAGCTTTCTTTTGATGTGGTCGGACAAGCTACAGAAGCTTGAATTCCAAGAAATGATGATGTTAATCCAGCACCTTAACTGGAGCCATGTGGAGCTAGGGATGGTGCTGTTCCGAGCTTATATGTGGCACACCATGTTCAACAACATTCCGAGCAATTTAGCCAGCTGAGCTGAGCTGAACACAGCATAGTGAGGGGAGCCATTTAAAAGTAATGGTATTCCTTGCCCCATTTATGTGTGTTTTATTATCCCCACAGTGACAGATGAATGGATGGATGATCCCATATTCTTTGAGTTGTTTTTGACTGGCAATGGCATTTGTGTTGGTGTTATTATTAGAGTTTACTCCGAAAGAAATCATATATTTCTATGTATTATTATTTTGTAATAGCCTATTTTAAACTTGCTCTTGGTTGTGAAAATCACTTGAAATATGCTTAATTCTTAGGATAAAAAAGAATTATGTTTGGTTTGTGCGGGAGTGATATATGGATGACGATGATGTTTGGATTATATTGCATTGAAAGCACAGGTACAAATAAATTATATAAATATATAATTCAATTCCAGCAACGCAAGGCAAGGCAAGACAAGACAATATTATTGCATTGGAGGATTTCTTTGGGTAAGGTACTCTCTTTTTATTCAGTTTTGCTTGCGTCTCGTCTCAATCCAGGTTAAGCCAGCCCATGTCGGCTTCCATTCATGGATTCTCTTATATATATATATATATATATATGTATATGGAATTTTAGTATTATCTTGATGTTATACAAAATTCTGGAGTATACTGATTTTCTTTTTTAATTCGTTGGATTATTTTGATTGACAATTCAATGGTTGAGTTTAATCGGGGATGTTTAGTAATTTAAAAAACTAATTAAGGATATTTAATTAAAGAAAAATCAATTAGAAAATATTATCTCAACTATTTTTGATATATTTGGAATTAAGTTAATTCTAAACAAAAGTAAAAACATTTGCAAATAATTGATTTCCAAAATGGTACACATTCAAAATATAATGGTGTATACAGTATCACAAATGATGTCTTTATAATATTATTATGAAGTTTTATCGTGAAATGTCTTCCATATATAATCTACTCAAATAATGTCCAAACAAATGCATTATGATGCATTCTCTTAACTCACATATTATTTTATTTTAACGGGATAAAATTGACTATATATTTCCTAAAATACAAGATCTACTCCATTTATTCACCAATCCTAATTTTATCACGCAGAGGCTCCCTTCCTCCTCTCATTGCCCTGCCTCCGTCAATCACGTATTCCGCGACCACCGACAACACACTAGCCACCTCCCCCCGTCAATTCCCTTTATGTTTACACCTCCGTAGTTGACAATCACCGTCGACGAAATCTTTGGCCGCCCCTGATGTCGTCAAACACGCTAGCCGCCTCCGCCCTCGATTCCCCTTCTATTTACACCTCTGCAGTTGACGACGACATCTCTAGCCGCGCTAGCCTCTATCAAACACGTTTGCCGTCTTCCCTATCGATTCCCCTATCATGCGAGGTAGGGGGAGGGGGAGAGGTACGGCTGATTGACAATGAACAGATTTGGTGGTTGTATTTTCAATACTGCGTAATTTTTTTATGGTATATATGCATTCTTGATTAGTCTTTTTTAGAAAAAAACAATCAGCACAGTCATTCCTAAAAGTCTTTTTGTTGGTTTCCAAACACGTAAGATGTATATTCACAACACATATATTGTTTAACTCAGGATAGACTTATGATACTAAACCTTATTGTGCACACTTTTATTTCATGTTATGGTTCATATTTACTATTTACATATTGCATAGTTATGATAGATTAATCAGATTTAGATGATGGATTATGTTAGATATATTTTTCACCATTATATTTATAAATATTATATATAACTTTAATAGATATCATATATACATCAGTGTAAATTGCATATAGAGATGTTGAACATATAGTTACGATATATTTCATTTTATGATTTCTATTTATAATTTATATATTGCATTGTTATGATATATTGGTCAGGTTTAAATGATGACTATGTTATACATATTTTTCACAATTATGCTTATATGTATGACTGAGCGGCAACATCCTCTGAACATGTTCGTTTATTATTGGGGTCAACTTTACTGCAATTTTTGTACCCTTTTTTATTGCGGCAATAGCAAATGTATTGCATATTTAATGATCACTTTTTGCTTTTTTTTAAAAAATTTTTTATCGCACGGAAAATCTTCATCTATGTGCGTATCTACAATATGACTTGTATGCATCGTTCGAGTTTGAAAAAGATGCATTTGTCCAATAGTTGTCACCTGAAAAGTCAAATGATATACACCGTTATAAAATATGCTATTTATTTTAATGTAATATGGTTTACGGAATATTGAGTAACTAATTTACTTGCTTTCCTTTATATACATATATATATATATATGTTTTTTAGGCATTTAAATAATAAAAAAATATTGGATATGATTTAATTTGGAGACTGTTTCAACTCTCCATATTTTCAGGAGGTTGATCATAATTTAAGAGCAAATTAGTTTACTTCCAACACATTTAAATTTGGATAAAGCAATCAATTAAATTATATTAAAAAATTAATATTTTTAAGTGAGTATTTACATAAATTCTACAAAAATATAATAAGATCTAAAATCATCTCAAGAAAATAATGTTAACCATTTTTTTTTAATTTCAGGTTACATATCATTCGCACAACTATTAGATTCGACAAATAAGATAAATTTAATGTATCTAGTTATACTAATGGAAGCCTGCAAGTCTTCCATTGTTTTAACCATTGATTCAATAATTCTTGTGTGCAACTATTGATACGTTTAATGACTAATACGATTATGGTGCATATATATTTAGAATATGATATTCAGAAGATAGGGATATGATGTAATAAAAATTCGCCAATACGTTACTTTTGCGATCGATAGAAAAAACTTACTGCATTCTGTAATTTCTAAAACATTATCTTCGTCCACAACACACTGGAACTGACCGGAATGCACATCATTTTGCTTCTTCTTGTTCTTTGCTCCGACTCATCTACAATTTATTTTCTTCTATAGACGTCGATAAAAGAATATGGAGTTATCTTTTTTTTTTGTTTTTGGATGTGAACTTATTTAGATTATGAACACGACAAGCAGCTATCCATATTTATATATTCCATTGATTTATGATAAAATAAAGCATCAACTTATTAACGGACAATTGGGCATAAATCCCTCTGTCCATTTATCAATTGGGATTCAGTCCCTAATGATAAAAAGTTTGTATGCACTCCCCCCTTTTTCCTTCTTCCTTCTTCTTCCTCCCTACTCGTTTTTTTCTTCATTATGTTTCTCTTCGCGCAAAAAATTCTTCTCAATCCGTTGTCCTCTTCCGTGAGCTCGAAAGCCACATCCCGCACAGGTAAGGTTCTTAATTGTTCACCCGGTTTTACATCGCCGCTTCTTGTCTGGTTCGATTGGAAAATTCCCTAGGGCACTCTCTGAATCCTGTTCCGGTTCCCTGTCGTCGGCGGTCGGTTGATTCGGTCGAAGAACTACCAAAGGCTGTCACCGATTCCCTGGCCCGTCTTTCTTGTTCTCCAGTGAAATTAGATGTCCTAGGTGTGTTTTTGTATTGATATCTTAGTTGGGAAATTATTATTTGGAAGAAAATGTTTGGGTATTATTTTGGGTGATTTTGATAATAAATTTTGTTGCTATTTAGGGTTTAAGGGTAATATTTATTTTGTGAAATGGGTAGTTTGTTGCTATTGAGGAACAAGATATTACTAGAATTCCGTAAGAACATATGATTTTAGTGTATTCTGTGTAAGATTGTCTAATCGCCCATACGACCTAATATAGTTCATACATCCATTGGTTGGATCGTTAGATTCCGATGGACATGGAGCAAAATAGTCTGAAATTATTAATTATATGTTCCTACGAAGGTGAGCATCATGTAATTGGTTTAGAAGTGGGCACCACGCTGGAGGATCTTTACCGGAATATATCGAAAAGATGGAATAAAGTGAGTATTGAGGCGGTAAAACTCTAATATATTGCACTTATTCAGAAAAGCTACGTGACGTTATTATGTGATGATGATGTCGCCAATATGTGGAGAATGCATATCTTGTTAAAGGTAATGTTTGTGGATATGATTGCACGGTGTAGAAGCGAGCACCAAAGCGTGCCTCTCCGAAGCACGGTTTGGACGCAGGTACGTTACTCATCATTTGTAATTAAGTAGTCTTTATTCAACTTTGTTATAGAATGCAGTCACAATTGTTCCTTATGAAAGAATGCAGTCTGTAAGCACTTATAATGCAGTCTGTAAGAATGCAGTCTGTAAGCACTTATAATGTCATGCTCAACACATCTAAAAACATGTTGTTTATAGGTTACGTTAGTCATAATTCTTTCATGATATTGGCATACAATAATACCTTGGTATATTGTTGCGATGTTGTTTGTAGGTAGTAAGTATCCACCTCCGCGATTTGTAGTAGCGTGGTGCAGAACGAACCACTGAAGAGATTGTAAAGATATGTAGTGGGGATATAACGTCTTGAAGGTATTTAACGATTTTCACTCCTTTACACGCCACTATCAATATCCTCTAGCAATCCCGTTTAGGTAGGTGTACCATGATCCATCGCGTTGAAATTTTCGTAGCCCGTGGCATTTACTGCATCACGTAGCCTGCTGTGGTGAATAGATGCAGTTGTTCTTTTAAATACCTTGGATGACACGGTAGGTAACCGTAGACACCGTGGACATACTTGGTTGAGTAAGATGGGTACCCATGTTTTTCTATTTACGAAGAAAATATCTATTACCATATAGAATTAGAATTACTTACATCTGACATAATTTTCATTCTTATTATTGTATTTGTAATGCAGGGGTGAGGCCGAATGTTCGGGATTGAACGAAGATGGCGCAGGTGGTATCTTTATTCCCGACGAAAGTACTAGTCTAATTGCAATGCAGAGATCCATTGTCGGGGAAGGTCAGACATTCAAGGGACCGCAGGAGTTTAGAAAGTTACTGAAGAATTATTCTATTGCCACTCAGAAACATTTCAGGTACCAAAAGAATGATTCGAGCAAAATTATTGCGGTGTGCATCGACAAAGGCTGTGGTTGACGTATTTATGCATCCTTCCATGCTCGTGATGCATCATTCAGCATTCGTAAGTGCAATTTACATCACACATGTACTATGAGTCTATTGCAATCAAGAGATTATCCAGCAGCCAATGCGAACTGGATTCCTGAAGTCTACAAAGATAAGATACGTTCTATGCCAGCGTATAAGGCATCCGACATCCGGGAGCATATCCAAACAGATTATGGGATTGACGTGAAATATCATAAAGCATGGCGTGGCAAGGAGAATGC